GCTTTGCTAAGCTTGTTCTAAGTATGTGCTTTAGACCACTGAGCCATCTCACCAGCCCCTCTTCCTTCCTTTCTTTGCCTAACAATCCAATACCATATTGCACACACAGTGACTTTTCCCTGCTGCCCCATGGTGTCTTCTGCGGCTCCTCCCCTCTGAGGGCAGCTGCCTCACCGGTACTGCCTGGCCCTGGTCCTTCCTCTCTTCTTCCGCCCTCTCTGATCCCCGTGACTTTGATACACAAGCATCCAGGGCATTTGTTGGCAGGTTCCGCTTCAGCTGGGTTTGACTGATCATTGCTTATGAAGAGATTCAGGATAAACTTTGTTTTGGCAGCAGTGGTTGTACTTTTTATGCTATTTTCAGTGCTGGGGATTAAATCCAGGCCTTAAGCACTGTCAGCAAGGACTCCATACTCGAAGGTGTGACAGGACAAGCACCCAAGAGTCTCCTGCCTGTCCCTGTCTCCTCTGGAGAGTTCACGGGTGAGCTAGACAGCTGGCAGGCCATGTGTCCTGCCATGTCAGCTAAGGCTCTTGAAAGGTCTGGGCCATGGGATTGAGGACCTGGTGTCCCAGCACCACTGCCTGGAGAGGCTAGGTGGGTACCTCCTCTTGCACTGCTGTCCTGGGACATTCTGGCTGCCACTCGCCTGGGCCCTGCCACCTCTCTGGGTCCCGGTCCCTCCCTGTCCTGGGGTAAGACCCTCTGGGGATGCTGGACCTGTCCTTGCTCCCCAGCCCCAGATCCTCACCCTGCAGGACAGGTTGGTGGCCACAGAGACCTCAGCATGCATGGTTCCCACCACAGCAGGGGTGGACACTGGCCCAATGAAGGCAAGTGGGGCCTGGGGTCCAGGCCAGAAGCTGACAGAGGCCAGCAGGAGCAGTGGGGACAGCTGGGTGTGGCCAAGCTTGTGATCATGGTTACTTGTTTTATTTTTTGACTTTCGGCTTTGAAATAATTTTACAGTTAGGGAAAACTTATAAAAATGGGAGCACCCAGCCATGTGGTGCGTGCCTATCACCCCAGCACTCAGGAGGCTGAGGCAGGAGGATTGCTGCGAGTTGGAGGCCAGTCTGGTTTTCTAGTGAGTTCAAGACCAAGGCTGTACTACATAGTGAGCCCATCTCAAAAACAAAACAAAACAACTTCTATCTGCCTGTCACACATATGCTCAAAGTATTTTTGGTATTAGTTCTGAAACCCTTGAGAGACTTGGGCACCCCCTGCCCCTTTTCCCCTGGTCCCCCAGGGTTTGTCCCTTGACACAAGAGCATCTTTACCTGTATCATCTGGGGATCCCCACCGGGCCCTCTGTTGCTTCTACAGAACCCCTCTGCCCCCCAGTCATGTCACCCCAGGACCCTGGTTTCCCCTCCCCTTTCTTTGTCCCTCATGGCCCTGGCCTTTGGAGGACCACAGCCTTGTCATTTGGTAAGCCTTCTCCAGTTCCCATCTGTCCTGGGTGTCCCTTGGTTGTATGGGACCATGTTTGTCAAGAGTGTGGCCCTACATGTCACCCAGA